AGGGGAATAAATAAAAGCTTTCACGGATACAATATATTGCACGTTCTTTAAAGGAAGTCGTTGACATAATCACCGGCAATAAAAATTCATTAGCATCGGTAAATCAGTCAGGCCTCAGAGGTTTATGATCTTATTGCATAAAGCAGTCATAACGAAATTGGGAAAAAATCTACTGAAAAACTATAGAATACTTTTGAGTCAGGTAAAAGTTTCAGAATTACTGGGACACCTTGTATATTCCAGAGAATATAGTATAAAGAATAGAGCATTGTCTGGAGTACCTGTGAAGGCAACAATAATTCTAATTTTATGGCTCACATAATACCCACTTTCTATCATGGCTAATTAGATCTAGTAATTATGGGACCAGATACATAATATAATCATAAATAGTGACCCTACTAGCAAAAAAAAAGAAAAACTATTTGGGATGCGGTTGGCATTGGAACTATAAAAGGATTTAAGAAAAAAATAGAGACATGTATAAACAGGTCTATAATATACTTGAAATTATAACTGCTCCACCTCTATTCAACCCAAGAAACCCTAATCCCATCTCAATAATTTAAGTATATCAAAGTTCAATTGGTTTCCTGGGATGCTAAACAGTTTGAATGGCATTCTGGTACGTTTGGATAGTTCTGTCAAGGGTGCAGTCTGTGGTTAATATCTACAGTGTCCAGTGGAAGCAAAACAAAAATGTGTTAATTAGCGAGGATGAATTTAGAGGATCATCTGCGTCACGACCGAAGAAAACTGGTTTCACGGTGAGTCAATGCAAACATTTTTTCTCATCCTTTATCTGGTCTTTTGTCTGCTAATGGTACTGTTGGTTTCGGTAGATTTTTAATTTCCTTTATTTTTTCTTCTTTTTTTTTTTTTTTGGTAAGACTCCAAGTTCTTTGCGCTGACCAGAAATTGTTTTCTTTTACAGTACCAATGGCTACGTGTGCCTGATGTTCCACAGAAGAGACAACCACATAATAGAGCTGCAACTGTCGGAATGGGGCCAGCAGCGAAATTTCTCTGCTGAGATGCTATTTTAAATGTTCTGGAAGTCTGAAGGAGATTATAGTCGTTATACATGATTTAGGTTATTTTAATTTTCCTTTCAAATTTTTTTATGTATCTATCAGCACTTTTATGTACCTACGTTATGCCAGAATATAATCATTTTTGAGTGTCTAAAGCTAAACAAAATTGTACCTACTTGAAGCATTCTAAAGCTTTTAAAGATCCCGTGGCTCCCATAATATGACGATTTCAAACATCCAATTAACTATGAATACCATCAAATCAGTATCCCATACTCAGAACAGATTATCTGTAGATGCTTGCACAGATACAGAATTCGATACCAGCTCTATTCTTGGCTTCGTTAGCCGTGCCTAACACCTCGCAGGGGCCGCGTATCGATAAATCAATTACGCCGTGTGATTCATCTCCCCTGATTAATCGCAGGATCCGCGAGGAGCATGCGGGATACCCGCGATAATTTGTTGACACCTCTCCTTCTCTCCGTAGCACGCGAATTGAGATTTATGCGCCGCGGGGTTCATCGGATGGGGGGGGGCTGTAATTAATTATAATAATTAGACAGGCCAGGGAATCGTTATTTTCCACGTTCAAAGTAGGTATCCATATCTCTTTCTCAATATTCTTTATATTTCAATATTCCATAATATTGTATTACAGCGTTTGGAACCGGTTTGGACAATTTTACCCACTTTCGATCATGTTGAATGAATTTAGATTGACAGTTCCCAATATTCATCTTTTTTTAAGTGCACACTCAAAGAAGATCGATCCTCTTTCCTGATATTCTGGTTCCAGATATTAGTCCCCTTTCTGGATATTCTCTTCAGTACCAATTAGGACAATTACACACATTAAAATTGAAAGAAGAAGCAGTCTTTTTTTAGTTTAGCTAAAAAAAGCACTCACCTGAAGATAAAACATGTTGTGAGGACAACCAGGGGACCAGGTGTACTGAACTTAACTCACGCACCGCTTTCTTTCAAAAGCACACTGTGAAAAGATACAGAAGATCAACCCTTTATAAAAGCACCATGTATTTTACTAGATTTTCATCATTTTCTTTCACTGTTCTGCTCGTGAAAGCACCAGGATCGTTTACTCTGTGCAATCAACACTCTGAGGCTCTAAGAGGGGTCGGTACAAGCTTTAATGCCATCCGGAGCACAATTTATCTGATGTTTCTTGATAAACTAACGCGACAGGTTGAGGCAAAAGTTTCATCTATGTCCTGGATTTCAAACTGTGAATATTGCTGCAACTCTCTCACACTCTTTAACGATAATTTAAAATGTCGAATTTAATCGAAAAATTTACAAGTCAAATAGTACCTATGCAAAAGTTAGAATTAAAGAATTGAATTCTTAAAGAGTAAAGTTCAGTGTGGTCTTTAATTATGTCTCTTCGAGGCTCATTAGCCAGGATTGCAGTGTGTCAGAGTATACAAAGGAGGAATATTGAAAATATCAAGCCATTGTGTTCGCTTCAGTATAAAAGGGTAGAGAAATTATAGCTTCCAAGTGTGTCCATTCAAATTGGACGTATAAATTATTGCTGTTTCCATCTGAGAGCTGGTGCTTTATGCGCATAAAGGGTTGAATAGACCTCGACGACATTTCACGGTTAACCACACCCTGAGACTTGGAACGACTGTTCGTATTCATTGCGTGTATTGCACACCACTCCCTACTTAAGAACTTTGTGCATCCGCTTTGAGTATTCCCGCGACCTCAGAAGAAAAATTCGCCTGTCTGCACATTCCTCAGCTTCCTTCACTTGGGAAAAGAACGATCGATTCCCATACTTTAATCGAGATTAACCGTTGGTTCTGTTGTAATTAGATAATTGCATCGACCCTCCCCACCCCAGAATATTTCTTTGCAAAGAATTTTTGTGTGAGAAAAAATATAAATTGAAATTTATCTGATAGAAACAGTAAATTTTTTTTTATACAATTTAAAGTTTCATCTATAATTTTTTCAATTTTACGACTCTAATAGAAAAATTACAATATTCCAATATATTTCCATCCTATTTCTCAAAATTTCAATCGGGAGTTCAACCACCCCGATAAAGTCTCTACTGCATTTCACTATTTTTCACCGTTAAAATTCCATGGAAAAACGAAAATCAACTACCAAGGAACCATCCGTGTACTCAACAAGAATACATTCTTTTTCACCAAACAACCAATGCAATCCTCCAACTTCTCCAGTCCAACGAATCACAGAGGACAACCTCGTAACATACGATCTCCCGCTCCACATATTATATCACTTGATTGAAAAATGGACAAATTTCCATATTAGCGCCAGGATTAAAATAGAGCACCATGATCACCAAGGAGGGATGGTTAAACGATGAAATATCACCGAGGTCTGGCGTTTCTCTTCGACGGATCTTCCTCTTACGAATTCACAGATACGATTCTCGATGAGGCACGTGTTGTTTCCTCAGATACGATATCGATGCACTCCGGCACGGCTGTGAATAAAGTCAGTACGTAACTGCTCGGCATGCTGGCAGGTTGGGTTTATATAGCGTGGGTCTAATAAGATGATACTTGAACGCGTTGGGACCGGGGCCCCAGAAAGGGGGGACCGGTGATGCGCGTTGCCTTGTTTCGCCTTACCTTGCCTCACCTTGCCTTAAAACCTTGTCGAGGTACCGCGACCAGGGGGGAACGTCTATCTTGCACCATTTTCTTGCTCCGCCAGTTGTCATATCATCTTTTTGCATCACCGTTTCTTCATTCTGAGCCCCTCGTCTCTTCTCTCGGGGACATTTGGAAAATGTTATCTGGTTGGGTAGTTGTTGAGACGGTTGTAAACTTTAGGCAGGAACATTCTTCTGGTTTCTATTAAGTCATCCCGTAAGTTCGTCTCCTTTAAATTTGATTTAAAAAAAAAAACGTAAGCGCCTTCTCGCTCCACAACTTTTTCCTATTTTTGGGGGGAAAGAGGACCATTATGTCGTCGCTGACGGGTTGAGTTTATGGTTTTAGATACTGTTTGGTAATTTTCACATGGTTCCAGTAATTGTAAAGTTTGAATTTTGGAATTTTAGAATACTGAACATTGCTCGAGGAAATATTTTTAATATAGCAACTCTGAGTAAAACTTTAGAATTTAATCATTGATGTAGCCATGACTTGTATAATAACTTTTAGAATTTTTAGCGCTCTGCGATATTTTCAATCTATTTAAAATCTTAGTTTTTACTACTTCGCAATACCTCAATATTCCCTTACAAGAATTTTACACATTTCCATTTCTCAAGTGAAAAATTTTCACCATCTTCACGAACCATTTGCTTCTCCATAAAATCACTTCTCCCAATGCTTACGGTAATATCTTACATTGTACAATCTCTGACTACAACAATTATAGAAAAATACCTCTTACAACAATTTAAACCTGCCACTTTAAGTGGTAGATACATTTCCAATTATCACCTCGACAGAGCTATTCAAACCGCAGCAGTGAACACAATCATGAATCCAATCGCCATTTCATCGAATACGGAAGCCACTAACCTAAATAGGGTGCATTATACGGCTAGTATGCATTCCAATAAAGCTGTTGACGGTTACAGCAATTTTTCAAGATCATTTCATGTAGAAAAAGCTCGACGAAACGTATGACAAATCTGTAAACGCATTTGACCGCATCGTGGGAAGGCTAATCCGGATCAATGCGATCCAAATGATCTTTCGAGGCGCGTGTTGGCTTCTAACCTCGAAGGTGCAGCATGAAGAAGTCATTCCATCGATTATCGTGCTACGAATCGGAAAGAATTTGATATTTCATAGGTGCACGAAGCTAGCATGAGAGGCTGAATTCTTCACTGATGTATTTTGAACTTCATTTTACTTTGCAGCCATTGTTGTACGTGTATGATTTAGAAAAAAATAATTAACCTGAAAAAACATCGTACATTTTTGTGATTCGTAATATCGAGTAGAATATTTTGAATAGATTAGTAAACGGTAGAGTACACTCTGTATTCAAAGTTTGGAGGTTAACTATCGGTATATTGGTACTCTGACCCATAGAAACCTTGACTCCCTTTTTTTTTAATAGATATAACTCAACTTTTTTAGGGTACAGTATTAAGCAAGTAGCACACCTTTTTACGTCCATTTTTGGTCTGGACGTCTTGAAGGCGTACGAATCGGTACGTTCTGACAAAATATAAAAATTACGTCTTTAACCCCTTAACCTATGATTTCTTTTCTTAACCTATGATTTCAGACTATGCATCTAAGCGTCAGCCATTTTCTATTTTAGTACTGTATCAGGTAACAAAAACTAATCCGTCACAAATTAATTACACTTCGTAATCCTAAGTCTTACAAATTCAAACGAAAGTTATGATTACAATGAATTTTTCTTACTAATATAACGATTTTTGTCACATCTTCACCAGAATCTCTGCCACGAGTCTGACACGTTGTCATATGTTAAGGGGTTAAAACGGTTTTAAGACATTTCTAAAGCCAGCACATAGCGCCACATTTCAAAGAACTCTTAATTTGTAACGCTGGACGTCGTCCAGATGTCTTTTGGTATTCTTTAGGCTTTTACTCGACGCCTTTAAGACGTTCACGAGACGTTTGTGTGCTATCTGGGTGCTGTTCATATTTTAAGCTTTGCAATGTCCAGTAGAATATTTTTAATGTAGATATTATCAATAGGTAAAATATTTTTATATAGTGAAAAATTAAAGTATATTCTTTGTCTGTTTCTTTTCAAATCTTCATTTCAAATGTAGATTAGTATTTTCCAAGGATTCCATAGGAAAGAAGGGATAATGGCCTATAATTCTTCAATCTGTAAAAACAAAAAAAAGTAACTTAAACACACTTTCTTTTCTAAAATTAAATATAATTAATGAAACTTTTTAAGCTAGGCTATTATTGTCAATGTTTTACAACTTTAAGTACAATACTTTGAAAGGTCTGCCATAGGAGAACATAATCAGCGAGTTAATGAACGTAACAAAGTCTCTCTTCCTCAAACTTTAGATTCAGATGGAGATTAGTATTCTTCAGAGGTTCGGAGGAATTTTTGCAAAACCACTGTTACATCTACTGTGTATAGGTTCAAGAAGCAAGCGGAGAAAGGCACGCGCGGATACGCACGCTCGGAATTGCTCGGCGAGCAATCCGCCTTCTGCCCAGCCTTACGTGCATCCAACAACCACGAGCAAGACCAGGTCAGGGCAGAGCACGATGTTACTTCAACCCTTTCACGGCCGAGGAGATGCCTTGGTTCTCCGTTTCCACCGTGACAACCTTTTCAAGCTAAGAAAACAATCGCATCACGCTTACAATTATTGCAACCATCAATTATCAGCTTACAATTGTTATTAGGTCATCCTGAAAGTACCCGCGGTTTTAAGCCGTTCAGCGTTGAAAAAAGAAACATAACTCCGGTGAAATTAAACATTTTTAGTCGAAACAATTTCCACAATGTTCGACACACTTTTGTCAACGTACATACGAGACCTTTTAATTCCACGTGATACAAAAATCTGAATCTGCAAGAGAAAGAAACTGCTGAAAGACGTTTTCAATATCCTCCTGTTTTCTGAATTACTTTTGTGTAATGAAATTTTCAAGTAAAGGGAAAATATGAAAATCGGTTAGAGATAAATTCGACACTCGGTTTATAACAATTTCTGTAATGCCGTACAAAAGGATAGGGCTCTTTCTGTTCGCCACGGTTATGACTCTATTATAGTGATAGTGCCTACCCGTTATCGTAGGAAACTGCAGTGAATTTATTCCAAAGTAGACTACTAAATTGCAAACATAATCTTTTGCGGGTGTAAACTGGATTCTTTCTCTTGGAGATTTGGATTTTTATTACGCGGGATTAATGCTTTAGTAATACGTTGGCAAAAGTTTATCGAACAGCTTAAAACCGCGGTAACTTTCAGGAATGAATTTATGTTTAATTAACTTGAGCGCCTGCGTAGGATTTCAAGCTCTTGATTCTTATGAATTTTCATTTTAAATTATTCCTTTACTGAACATTTTTGAAATTTCAATTTGAGTCTTTTGAATTGTTCTTGAAATTTCATCGAGGTTAGTTCTCTTTTGATGAAGATCTGTATATAATTTATTCACTGTTTTGCATGTGAAAATGAGATTTTTGTGTTTGACTTTTGCTTCACAACCGCATTGGCAATATTCTTAAAATTAAGTAACATTTTTTTGATATATTATTCATGTCTTTGATATATTAGAACCGGTTATTATGAAATCTACCACAGTTTCTTTCAATTTGTGTGCATAACTTATCATAAATATCATTACCCAGATAGCGCACAGACGTCTTGTAAACGTGTTAAAGATGTATTAAATCGTCCAATAAGTCCGTGCCGCGATGCGTTTATACACTTCACGATGCATTTTGCATTTCAAGTTACTTTCGCGAAATGAAACTGTGTTCAGTTAGAAAAGTTAAGAGAAGCAACGAAACTCTTAAGTCAAAAGAAAGTGATTTTTCGGTTGGGAAATTTTATTAAATTTAATAAAAATTTTTAAAATTTAATGAATTTTTTTAAATTTGACAATATCGACTCTACGAGAAATAGCATTGAAAAATATTCGAACAAAAACCGAAGAAATTGTATAGTGATGACATTAATGGCTTTGCCAAAAAGATGAGAAGAATTTGTGGAACGACATGTAATTTGGAATATTGATCTAAATGACACGTCAATAAACAGCACGAACTTACTGGACGACCTAATCATTTTTATATGTCTATTCATACGTTTTCAATGATAAATACTTATATCCTATATATAAAATATAATGGTATTTTGCAACTTCAACCACTATCAATAGTTAGAAATAAGAAATGAGATTCATTTTTAGTTCCATTATGCCTAAATTGTTGGACTTTTGGAGTCTAGCTGCAGACAGCTGGGAAAATGAGGAATTATCAAGAAATAGCTTTCAGATTTATCTTGGGCAACGATTACCTATGCATGGGGTTAGGTACGTGTGAGAAGAGCTCGCTTGGACCACGATTTCTTCATCACTCACCCACCTCAAATAACTGATTATAGCTCATTTCGCGAAACACCTTGGATTGCATTACATTTCCTATGGAATGTTCATCTAACTACGCCAATTCTTTTCTCATTTAAGCCTTCTCTTCACTGTAGGTAAGTAGGTACCTGCTACAATTTTCCTTTCTTCCATGGATGGAAAATAAAATAAAGAAATCCACAGAAAGTAATTTTGATTCATGCAAAATTATAACTTGAAGAAAATTAATATCTGAGAAAACATTTGAGTGAATAATAACCACTGGAAACAATAAACTAGCTATAAAAAAATATATATAGGTATATACAAAATTGGTACATAAAAATTTCTTAAAATACTGAAAATATTCTGTTAATCGTATCTCATTTCGTAATATTAAAATTTCATAGAAAGAAATCATTCACCTTTATTT